TTTTCAATTTTTACAAGGGCCAAATCATGAAAAATTGCACACAAATAATTAATAAAACTTAATTTTTATTTTAATTTATTCTTATAAAATATGCTGCAAGTAAACAACATAATAAATATATAATAATTAAATAGTTCGCCTTGATTGATGATGATAGGTTGTACCAAAAAATAATTTTTTGAATTTTTTTGTCCAGGTCGGCCCACATACTAGCAATCATCGTAAGCTCGTCATAAAAGTCACAGCAAGTGTAATTTGTATTATGAAGGTGTCCTAAAAATTTAACTATTTTTTCAAGTTTTAAAATTGTCTCGTCATCGTTTGGTTTAATACACTAATATAAATTAGAAAAATTGGAAAAAAATCAAATTATAATATAAATTAATTTGTATATACTTTTATTATTGATAGGCGCCTTTGTATGACAACCAACAACTTCTTGGTGTTCCTCTGTTGGCAGCGTGAACGAGGCATCTAAATAAAGTTAATAAAAAAAGGTTAGTCAAATGAATGACTAAACAAATCCAGAAAAATGCCCTCAAAAAAATTCTGATTTTTAGCAATAGACTCAGTGCTCCTACTCAAATCAAAGAAATGAGTGGCCCTAAAGTCTATCTCTTCAACTACAATAATAACCCAGTGCTCCTGACCCGGCCCTAAGGTTATCATGTAGTTAAATAATCAGAACCAATCAAAAACACATTTCCAAGACTTGCCTTAAAGGTTGCTGTGGTGCAGCGGAATTGTATTAATTGTATTTGTATATTGTTATAAAAAAAGAGGAAAAGAAAAGAAGTTCTTTTTATAAGAAAATATTACCTTATGAACAACGTGTTTTGAGTAAACCAACAAAAACAATAACAATTACAATAACAATTACAATAACAATTACAAAAACAATAAATAATAATAACAATGATAATGATAATGATAATAAAAAATTCCAAAATGTTCCATTTTAGTTAGATTTCAAAGGCTGTGTGCATAACCACGCATAACCAGAGAAAATTTTCCACTTCTAGAAAGTAACACGAGCTACTGACAAGCCACCATTATTAGCAGGGTTGGCATTGTCCAACATTGTCCAATGCCAACCCTGCTAATTATTATTAGCTTATGTTCGAAATAATGAATTATTAGTATGATTCCTCTACATAATTAATTACCGGAATTAATGAGAGGAATGTAATTTATTATTATTAAATATAAATAAAAGTCTTTCTAGATCATGAATGTTTTTATCAATTATTCAAAGTTATATAGGCAGGTTGATTGAAGTGTTAAAGACAAGATATATGATGTATAAAGCTTACAAATCATACTTGATGAATGTTATCAATTATTCAATGTCTATGAAGCTTGAAAAGCAAATTTGTAAAATATACTTATGAAAGTTTATCAATTATTCAATAGCTATACAGGTGGGTTTGATGGAATTAAAGTGTTAAAGATAAGATTGCATTTTAATTTATACATTATTTATATAGGCGGGTTGACGGAATTAAAGTGTTAAAGATAAGATTGCATTTTAATTTATATATACATTATTTATATAGGCGGGTTTGATGGAATTAAAGTGTTAAAGATAAGATTGCATTTTAATTTATATATACATTATTTATATAGGCGGGTTTGACGGAATTAAAGTGTTAAAGATAAGATTGCATTTTAATTTATACATTATTTATATATGTATAAATAAAAACCATTGCTCAAGTAATAATAATCATTAATAAAACTTTAATCAAAAATCTTTTCTTTTAACTCATATATATTACATATTAATAACATCACCATCAGATCCTGCTAATGTTATTGATGATAAAACAATCGCTAATAAATAAATACCTTTTAATCTAATCATTACATTCTCAAATATATATAAAAAATATTAATTAATAATAGGAAATGGATGAAAAAAAATTAGTGAGGGTATGAAAACTAATCTTTAAAAATAATTACCCCCAAAAAACCAAAGTTAACTGACATTATTTCCATTTTATTAATAGCCATCCTTGAAAAGAATCTGTTATGCGAATTCGTTTTTGTTCAAATTCATTTGAAAATATTAAATAAATCTTTACACTTATTATAATAACCAGGATCTGTTACGCGAATTCATTTAAAAAGCAAAATTTGAAGTTAATACTTTTTTATAAACAAAATTATGTAATTTAAAAATAAATACTTAAAGCTTGAAAATTAGAACTTAACTATTGTACTTATTATTAATATGTAAAAAAAATTAAGTCTAAAGATTGAAATTGTGTATGTTGTCCAATTTCTTAATTTATTATTATTATAGAACTTATAGAACTGGTAGTCCAACTTCATGTTAAGATTATCGCTTAGT